ACTGTAGCAAATCTGTAAACCTGAAAGGACTTAATTAGTATCCAGGGACAGTTTAGTGGTATTTAATTAACAAAGAGACCATAAATCATTTTAAGGGGAAAAAAAAAAAAAAAAAACAAAAAAAAAAAACAAAAAAAAAAACCCCACAAACAAAACAACTAGCCAACATCTTGTTACAGCCTGCTAGGTTTTTTTTAATGGTAAATTCTAGTTAAAAAGAATATAGTTTGCTATTTAGAATGATCACAAGAAACAATACTTATCTTCAGACTAGGAGAAAAGTGTTCTAGAGCCTCATTCCATTTTTTTGTCTGTACAACAGATGGACTATATTAAAAAAATATTCAGAACTACAATAAAGGGAGACACTAAATCATACCAGGAAGCAGAATAGAGCTATTATTTAATGAAAAAAAAATAATAATCAAAAAATCAAGTGCAGGAGTAATCAAAAAAATTCAGAGAAAAAGAACTCATACATTTTCTTCTTCTCTGAAAGAACAGATTCATTTACTTACTGTCACAATGTCTACTCCATAAAATACCACCAGGGCAGAAAGCTTTAATTTAATATTAAAACCTTTGCCCACTCTATGCTCATTTTCATTTCTATTACCTTATCCTCACTGTAACACACCGCATCTCTTCTTACCAAGACAAGATAGAATTAACCTTTCTAGTTTAAATGTCTACTTCATATTATTTGTAGTCCTGATTCTTCCTTAATACCCTGTATTCAACCTGATCTTTGGTCTCTCCAGTGTTATTGATCACATCCCTTTAGAAGCATCTCTGTCTCTATTTCAGCATGACACAGCCTCTACTTTGTCCTGTGCCAAGCTATCCCACTTTCCTCATTACAGCCTCCTGAACACAAGGCAGGTCTGATTAGCACAGAACAATCCAGTATTCTGAGATCCAGACACACATGAGGAGCACTAACCAGGCTCCTTAGGTTAATCTACTCTGACAGCCCTTTCTGCATCATAAAGCTGAGGTTGGGAACATGCTCTAGTTGCTACCCATAGTGCGTGAAAAGCAACTTCTTTATGTCTTTTCTCAAATTAGTAGCAATATGATGTACAACTATTCCTCCACAGAGAATAAAGGGAGAATACCTCAATGAGGAAGACAACCCATTAATGGCTGTTATTTTTGGTAACCTTTTAGATGTGCAGATGTTCATTATTGTAAAGGGAGATTGGGGTTCCAAATTTCTTTCTTATTTCAAAATGGGCTCTAAATGTGGTCTGCCTTTCTCTGTACCTTCATGCCACACAATCTCAGATCAAATTGTATTCAGATCAAATACAAGTGACGGCAGTTTATTTTGCACACCTCGTCATATGGATGTTGTAAAGGCAGCTACATTACGGGTTGCAAGACACACAAAATCACATTGGGAAACTGCATCTACATTACATAGAGTGCCTTGTGTAGCATCAGAAAAATTCTCTGCTATCTATTAGCAGTCACATAACTGCTTTTCCTTCCTGTAAGATAGGAGCATGGGGGATTGCATACAATCAGACACAATGGTGCTGTCAAGAGGCAGCTGAAGTGTGCACTTCAAGTGTCACTCTCCAGTGCATTCCTGGAAATGACACTAGAGTTAAAATGGGCTTTTACTGACTGCAGACTATCAAATAACCACACAGATTTTTCCATTTGTGTTTACTCAAGAAGACATATCCTGTACTGAAGGAATGAAGAACATGGACACAGCTGTTAGAATGCTTTGATGTAGGTGAGGTATCTTTGCTTTATTAGAGAAGTAAAACTTCTAAATTCTTTAGAGAATTCATAAAACTAAGTTCTAACAGTTAAGATAAAGACACTATTAAAAATAAAATACTAAAAAAAACCAACCCCAACAAAAACACAAAATCATACTTTCCCACAGAATGGACCTTAATCCTGTCTTCCAGGATTTTGACATATGGGCAATTCCTCATAATTTATCTTGAGGAGAATCCAGACATAGTTTATGCATGTTTTCTATTTTTCCTTCCTGTCTGTAATAAAAATATAATCTCTCCTTGTATGCATGTTTATAAAGTAATAAAAGAAATACATAAAGTAAATTTGTCCTCCCAAAAATATTAATTTTAGCAATTAAAAAAAAATTATCACTGTAACCGCTATTCCAACATATGATTATCTTGACCAGGATATATTTTTGTATCTGTCTGTTCAGATAAAAGAAATACATAACACTAAATTTATCACAAAATAAGGCTTGCATTATTATCTTAAACAACATTCCAATAAGGCAAGTAAAATGTGGGTGATTAAAAGAGAAACAAAGGAGAGGGGAATAAGAATGATAACCATCTTACATTAAAGAATCACTGGCCAAATGGAGGGAAAAGATATCAACAATGATACATGTTTTGTTTTTGTTTCCTTCATTTTAATGAATTTGAAATTAAGTCCTAAATGATACAAGGAGTCTTACACCACAGTTTCTAAATATTAGCTGAAACTATCATATTCACCTTCAGCCCTAGGTTCACAACTGAATATTTATCTTATCTTATGGCAGGAGATAAAACCTTCCTCAGCTGAAGTAACTGCTTCTTTTCAAAAGGTCCTCTCCCCCTGCCTCTTGCCTTAAAATCCACCGGTTTGCAGTTGGCCTCTAACAAGATTTAAACTCTACTTCTTTAAGACTGAGTTTCTAATAGTTAAGAGTTGTTCCCACATGTACTTCAAAGGCAAATGATGCTGTGGATTTTCCAGCAGTGTGACCTGCTTTTGAAGTTTTTGAATTATCCATAGGAGATGCTACTAACAAAGAAAAACTGCCAGTCTTAAAAAAAGTAGAATTTAAATTTACTTAGCAAGTGCCACAAAAAAGAGAGAGGATTACCTTTTTAAAACTGATTCTTTGTTCTGTCTCTTCAGACAGCAACAGATTTCAAGAAAAAAAAAAAAAAAAAAAAGTATGTGGCATTACTGTTTATCAGCAGGAAAAACCAGGAACATAATATGAAGGGTCTAGGCACTCCAGAAAGAAATATAAATTTAAAGGTAATATTTCCTAAAAAAATTATTTATGCTTTTTAAATAAATTAAATACCTGAATTTCCTTATTCATCGTCCATTTTATTTAAAATTTCTTTTAAAAGATCTCATGTTCTTTTTTTCTCTTAAATGTTTACAGTAGTCACAAGTAGATTAAATAAATCACAACATACAAAAAAAAAAAAAAAAAAAAAGCATCTTTTCTGTCTTTATTCCTATTTCTACTTCCATCCTGACTTCAAAATACACTTCATGAAAAGATCAGGTCTAGCACACCTGTTAACAACATATCTCTTTCAGAAAACATGGATTTTTAGATAGTCTATTAAACATGATTATGTCTGGGGTTTTTTTGTTTTGGTTTGGGGTTTTTTTGTGGAAGGGGAGAAATTACTTTAAAATATTGAGCAAAGTAGGTTCAAAGTGTTGAAATATATGACTTTTATAACTAAAAGACATGTTTTGGAAGGTAACCTGTTTATTGTAAAAATAGTTATTCCCCAACTGATTTAAATCAAAGTTAAATATTTCCAATTTATGTAAACCTAAGTCTATAATGGTTTCACTGAACCACAAGTTACTTTTTCAATAACCTTTCGATTAAAATTTGAGGCTTTTTTAACTTCCTGACCTATTTCAGAACAATAAGACCAAAAAAAAAAAAAAAAAAAAAAAAAAAAGCTACATATTTCTTGCTTTAAGTCTGTAAAGCTAAACTTGAAATCAGAAGCTTGATTACCTGAGGCTTTTGGTGACATCAACTAACAAAATTTTAGGGAGGCAGCCTGAAAACTTCACTGCCTTGCTTTTTTTAAAAAGGCATGAAGAAGAAAAAGTTATAAACAATTCTATGTACTGCCATCTCTGTTCCCTTCTCACTTTTTGATAGCTATACACATACCTTATTTGAACTTAAGTAGTAAGTAGGCATTCTATCCTGTTGTAACTGCTGTTTATCTAGCAGTTAGTCTTTGCTACAGGTAGCCTCACATGTAACATACATTGTTTCTTAATCTTACTTTTTTGTTTCAGATTTAGATAGATAGCAGCATTATGTAACAAGGGTATCAACAATCTTCCAGTTCACTGAAGCATGAGAGGGGTTTGAGGCTCACAATGCTCTTTTCTTGCCAATGACAGTTCAGCCAGCATGGAAGAAGTTAACAGCATTTCTAAGAAGAATAAATAGGTCTCACTTGGTTAAGTACCTTCTTTGTATCTTACATTACAGTCAGATTTTCCTCTTACCAAGTTCTTAGTTCTGAACACCACTAGATAGACCTCAAATCAAACTTAAGATTTCAAAACATTTTTCAAAGATGTTACTGTCAAGGCAAAACAGAAAGGTAAAACAAATTTTAGAGTGAGGTAAAGGAAAGGTAGCAAACTTGTATATTTCTCCTGAAAATCCAAGAGTTCATTTTTAACTCCTGTAGCTCATATGCAAAACAAGCCTCCAAACTTCCTTTTATTTCAATTCCTAGCAGCTAAAACCAGGGCTACTTCTGCAATTCTCTTTGAAAAATATAGATACTGAAATTCCATAAAGGTAAAACATCTGTTTTCTGACTTTACTAATGCCACAAGTAGTGCTAGAAATTAGGCCTTCTATTTCACCAGGCATGCTAGTACACCTTTCAAGTTACCATATTTTTCTACAAAATTTAAGTTTTAAATAAAATCAGAAGACATAGCTGTTAGCAAGTGTTAAGACACTGCAGAAAACATGGATAGAGCACGACTGATTTATTGACAGCTGTGAGCTCAAACATACAGAACTGAGCAACTGAAGCATACTTATGAGAATACTTATGCTAATAAATCCACTTAATTTGTTATACACTACCTTGCCAATAGAAATTCTTGTAATTTAGTTAAGATGTCTTAAATTAAAAATATGAGTACTGACACCCCTCCTCCCTCTCTTTGTACATGTGAATATATCTGCACATAGTCTAATGCTTTAGCCTTACCAGTGCTGTCATCATAAACAACAGTAACTGTTTTCCACTTGAAGAACTGCACAAGGTCAAGGATGGCACGGCTGAGTGAAGAGAAATCTGGATAGAGGCTGACATAGAAGGAGTCCTTGTTGTCTGACACCTGATGTTTCCAGCGTGTCTGGATATGCGGAACACCCAAAGCGTTGCAGATGGATTGCACAGCATTAGCTGAGGAGCTATGGGATGGTCCGAAGATGGCAGCCACCCCAAGGGACAGCTGATCGCAGGCTGAAGAGGAGACAGAAGTCTGTCAATGATGAGAGGAAAGAAGGCAGTGTGCCAGAAGGTAATTCATGTTAAACAAAAGGCACTCCATTAAATATAACTTTATTGCTGACAGAGCTCCCTTCTCATGTAACGCTTTCACTTACACAGATTTTAATTTCAGAATACATTTCTAAGCTTTCACTATGACCTGATGAATAGCAACACATAACATCAAAATAGTGCTCAGCTATGCTTAATAAACACTTCTGTCAGTGGAAGTCACAAAGGCCAGTAATTGCGTATTTTCTAAAAAGCACTGACAAGAGAAGAGATTTATACTTATATTTAGAAAAGGGCCATATGGGACAGTATTCTAACCTAGGCTTTTTAAGCATTATCTTCTACCTCAATCAATCAACACTATTTCTACTGAGATCCTAATTACTCAGAAATTGTGTGTGTTAAGTAGATTCTAGTTAAATATTAGGCAAATTGTTAATTTCATTGAAATGGTCAACTGAATTTCTGTATCTGAAAAGTAGGCATGTTGACTAGCAAAATTTAAAGGTCAGCGTTTTCCCTAAAATGCTACACCTATATTAGTCGATAAAACTGGTCCTGATTGGTGCAATACTGCTGCATCAAGTGGCTTAGTTGTCCTCTTTCAAATATAGGGTAGCCCTATGTGCATCATGAGTCTCTGTTCTATTTATCTCCTACAGTGCACACCAGAATTATCTTGTAGAATATTAGTTAGGACATACAGGAAAATTAGTGAATACTGCAGACCAGTTTTCACCCCATACCCTGCTCCTGTTTAAATCACTACCATAGATGTAACCTTTATGAGTATGCAATTCTGAAAAACAACAGATTCTGTCTTCTAAGAAAATATCCTATTTGGCAGAGAGAAGTAATGAAAAGTATCTCCCTAATCCAATCTAGATGCAAGTATTTTTATGAGATTTTATTAATTAATATTGTTACTCCACCACCAGTGTTCCTGACAGCTGTGGAAACAAGCAGTAGAAACACATCTTGTAGCATTACTTGTCTCAGCAAGTCAAAATTAATTGTTTTATTGTTCAAATCCTTTTCAATATGATGAAAATATTGCTAAATCTTTCAAATGCATTTCAGAAACTGTACTGGCACACCTTTTTATTACTGTAGAGCACCAGTAGTTTAAATGAACTTCTCCTATATATGCAGGATCTTCATTGCATTTCTGAGCATCAGATCAGGGCCTAAATGACTAGCTTGATAAAAAACCATTTATGTTAATATTGTCCTTCCTAAGAGTAATCAACAAGCTTTATGCAAATGTCAGTAAATGGGATCACTAACAAGAGCAATAGCTACCAGATGGCTTCTCAATGGTGGGTCGGTTTTTGTGGTTTTTTTCATGTTTCTGAGATTTGAATAGTGAAATGCTTTAACACGTGATTTAGCATGGCACTAGCTTTATCAGATGCATATCAATTTTTCTAGAGTATTGAGGGATATTTTGTTTGCACCTATTCTTTGCTGAAACAGTATCTTGGAATTATCTTGCCTTCAGGTTGCTCTTTCATACAGTACCTTTAAAAACTCATTAATATTTCATCTATACTCAACTTTAAAAAGTGTATGTTACTAAGAGCTCTAAACAGGCTGTTTTGGATGCAGCGCCTGCCTGCTCACTAATGGACATAATCATGAACTACAAAATGAGTCAAATGCTTAAGCCTCATTGTTAAAACTCTGCTTTGGAGCCATCATAATAAAGTGAACCATTTTATGTTAACCTTTAGCCTTTGATTCTGAACTAAAGCACCTGTCAGCAGAAATGTAGTTGGCTATATTGTGAATTGATGAAGCAGAAAGCTATTAACACTGGAAGATTACACAGATTTTGATACAGCCTGACCAGTTACAAATAGAGTTGCATTCTCATCCAAGATGCAAGTGGGAACAATGAATATATACAATCTATTCAATGTATCCAATCAATGGCATGTTGCCACTCTTAACTTCAGCTGTTATAGTCTATCAAGAATTAGCAATGTAATATAAGGGCTAGCTTGCATTTTCAAGCAAACCCCAAGTAAGGACTAAAAGAAGTTTTGTTCAGGAAAGGTTTAAAGAATTAAAGATCACAGAACAAATTTCTTTACTACCTACATGCTCCCTCAGGAATGGAGAGAAACTATCCCATTAAATTTCACAGGACAGGGTGTGCTGGAGTCAGGAAGCAGGTGAATTTGAAAGATGAGGAGGAAAGGAGAAAGAAGGGTATCAGCCCATTTATTAATTGTTGGCCAAGATGGAAAGGAAAGTCTCTCTCAGAACCTGCTTTAATCCATCATACAAAACATCGGAATAACAACTCAGAATTACTTTGTTGAAAGTGTTGTTTACCTCTTTCTTCTTCCACACACTCTCCTATGCAAAGAAACCATCTTCCTAGGTATAAATACTGAGCCTATAATATTTTTCAAAAATCAAAGCATCTTCCAATGACCAAACTGTGTGTATTTCTGTACAAATATGGAGGCTGTCTATTTTCATACCTAACAACAACAGCCTATATTAGAATTGTTTATTTAGCATATAAACAGAAAAAAACAGGCTAGTAAGATTAACTCTGCATTGCTATAGCAAAAGAGAAAAAAAAAAAATCTCATAATTTCTAAACTGAATTTTGAATTCTGTATTATATTCTACTTTTAAGATGTACTTTATGCACATTCATTCTGAGACAGCAGCTTTTCCCTATGTAGCATTTCTAACATGGCATCAAATGTTTTCACTCATTTTAGCCTATTACAATGCCAAAAATCCTTTATCGTGTAAAGCTTTCAGTCTTCAACACCTGGGAGTGGCACACTGGGACCAGATCACTTGAAAGATTTAGGCTAGAAATCCATCATAAAAAATACAGATTGACCTCTGATTCTTTCACCCTTCTTATTTTCTTGTTAAGGATAACATTCATATTAAATTGGGTCTTCAATTTATTTTAAAAAAAAAAGGTAAAGAATATGTAATACAGTGCAAAATTCAGTTCTCCTGAGTTCTGACACCAGGCTTTGTATTTGCTGAGATTTGTACTTTCTAGGATACAGCAATGATGCAGTACAACTTGCATCTATTGTCATAGACTTGAATGTAAAACTATCTGAAAACTTCAATTTTTGTGACAATCAAAGATTTTAAAAATTTGGAAAAATATTCAAAATTATTTTTAATTTTTATTTAAACAAATCATTTATAGTTAGGAGAAAACTGCTGAACTCAGTCCTAGACATTCATCTGATAGCAATATTCTCAAGCACAGACTTAATATTTAAGCTTATTTTTGTGCCTTATTGACATAAGATGTACAAAATCACAACTACTTGTTCCTCTTTGAAGGCCACACCTAAATAACTGCATGAGACATTCAAATGCTAAAGGTATTTGTGAAGATGTACTTAAAGTGATTGAATGTTTAAAATTGAATTGGACTCTTCTTCCAGGTTCACTAGAATTTAGGGACACAGCATTTTCCAGGACAAAATCTGGAGATAGTGTTTTCTCATTCCAAATGAGCTGGACTCAAAAATACCCTAGTCACAAAGCTCAGAAAAATTTATATCAGATGTTAAATATTTAAAGAAATAGTTTTTAGACAGGGGCAGTGAGAGTAAAATTGACAATGTAATTTTCAAGCAGTTACCATTGAAGCTTTCAAGGGGTGGTCTTTGTGCTTATTCAAGGGCTGGGCTTGTGCGTATTCATTTACAAAACAGCTCTTTAATGTCAGCCACAAACTTGTACAGTCTCATTGCATACAGCTTCATCGGACAGATATTTTTTCAGGGAGGTAAACCAAAAGAGTCTTAGTCGCTCATTAAAAAAATTAAATATGCAAAAGGTTACCTTTTTTGGATGCTTCAAAACTGTCATAGAGATTTATCTTTTGGGTGTCATAAGTTAATGTGGTGTTTGGCAGAAGAGTTCTGTTTCTGTTGATTGTATTCACAGCAAATCTGAAGGCTAATTCTTCTGCTCCCATTGGACCAGATTCCACACACTCAAAAATGCCTCCTGGTAGTCGGAGAAAGAAAAAAGAGAAAAAACCACTAGTAAGCCAAAATGGGATACAGGAACATCTTTAATCATCAGCTTGGGAAAAGATTAAATTTTTTACTTAATAAACCTGTTACAGTGCAACTCATGAAATTATCTCAGGATTTTTGTGAGATTTGGGTCAACCTGTAGATAACCCAGCAACAAATCAAACATACCTCAAAGAAGACCTGATTGGTTTTGGGGTTTTTTTCCATATACTACACAAAATAAACTAACCACACAGTTTAGAAACAAAATAGGAGAGGGATGAAGAATAGGTAATTATTATTTTACATAATTAAATTTGAAATTATTACATTTGCCCCTTCCAGATCAACCACCACCTACGTGTGTGTGGCAGAGGAGAGAAAGATTTCTGGATTATTGTTTTCTACTGTTCTTGAGTTATGATACAGCTATAACAAACTGGAGAGTTCACTGGAAATGCAACATGTAAAGGAGCATGGAACTGGGATACCCCAAACTGCTTCCAGAAATGAAGATGTATAGATATTTTAGCATGACTGCATGCCTGAACTAATAAATATGTTGAGCAAAGGGTTCAGATTTTGCCCCTTGCACTGAGATGCATGTACATGCTAACCTCATTCTCAGCAACTTCACCCTGCATAAGTTATGCAATGAAAGCATCCCCAAAGTGCTGCTGGAGTAGGACATGCTTTAAATGATAGGCAATTTCTAGAATGCTTCTGAGCCAGCCTTAGTCCTAAATGAAACAAATAAGTTTGTGAAATGATGCTGTGCTTCAGCTGTTCTTTTCTCATCAAATAGATACAATGAGATATCATTGCTCATTAAATATAAGTTTATGTATACTTTGGGGGAATATAATTTATTCTTGGGTCTTGAATGGCCAAAGATACAGTAACAATAAAAGTAATCTGAAGATATGTTCTTACTGTGGTGACAAGGAATGCCTCAGAAAAACAATAAGCCTCCATATGGTCTCTTCAGTCCTCATGCTAACAGCATTTTTCAATACTAAGGGTGACCAATGGTCATCATCTAAGGATCACTAATTACAAGACAGGCATTGTATCTGTGCAAGAGAAGTTTTTCATTCACTTTCTCCTAGCTTGTGTTTATTCATTTACACAGTAATGTTGCTTCCTGGTTTTGTATTGTCTAAAAAAAATTATTCCACGCTCCACTACTTTCTCAGTAAGGAGCTCTCAGAATCTGAACATACAAGAACTAAGTCAGACTGAACTTTGCAAACTACAGTCAGTTTGTAAAGTCTTGTTGAGCAGACAGGTAGATAAATATTTTT